CACCCTTTCCGGGCAATGTTGAAAACCCCCCCCAGCGCGGGTAGGTACGAACGAATCCATACCTATCCGTACCTACTACTCCGTACGGATACCTACCCTACCATGACTTGGTATGATAGCCAGGCACGTCACGATAGTGTAAGGTAGGTACGGATAGAGAAGAAGAAGAGCGTGCGCCCCTTGCACATGAGGTAGACAGCACGTCAGTGGGGACGCCAGCACGGGACTTCCAAAACAGCCTGAAGGACAAGCGAGTTTCGCAGACTCTTGAGACTTGGGACTGGCAGGGATAATTAGAGTTGGAGATGGTTTTGCTGGGTGTCCACGGTGTCTTTCCGTACCCTACGGCCCACGGGTACGAAGTACCTTACGCAGTGATGTCCGGAGTACCTTGCTGTCTAATAACGATAGGGCGGTGCGTAGTTGGGGGGTTCCTTGGAAAGCATCTTTTCGGCTTCGGGCTTTGGGTTGCCCTGAGAAGGGATCTTCTTGTCACTGGCGATGCAAGTCATTCTAGCGAGGCCGCATTTTGTTCCTTTTTCGTTCTTTTTGGAAGAAGCTGCGTGGGTCCTGGCTCGTGCTTGCCGTTGCTTGTAAGTTGTCCCCGCTGTCTTACATCATTTCTAGGTACCTTAGGTATTGGAAGGAGTTAGAGCGAGAGTTGAGTAGATTTTGGACTTGACTCTCGATTGTAAAGAACCTACCTTAGGTTATCTGTTCCTTCCCCAGGACGACCTCGACAAGATCACGTTCCTCTTGGCAAGATACGTACTTGGACAACGTGCCTCTTTTTGATGGGCGGGAGGAAGGAACGCCTGGCATGGATGCTGGGTTAAGATGGCAGTGGCTTCCGACGGGACACAGGCGAGGCAGGTACGCTACTTTCTTAGTCAAACGTCAACGACGTGTGGCTGAGCTTGTTGAGCCTTCAAGTATCGGATGCCTAGACCCTACCTACTGTATGTAGAGGTTGACGGCTGAAGCCAAGTCTCCCCTCGACGCATCCTGGTCCTTGCTGAGTAGCCCTGATCCCTCAACCTCGCGATGACTCGACTCTCTTTCACACGCACTCTCTCCCTCCCTGTTAATCCGACAAATCTTACGATATCAACTATTGCGAATTTAACCTAGGCTAAGCATCGACTCTGGACACCTGCACAGACACGACTGCCGATATTGACGCCAGTGCCTTCGCCAGTCAGTGACGGTCCTATGGACGGCTGGAACCACTTGTGGACCCGCTGCAGATAAGGTTGTCTAAATCCTAACCAGGACCGGATGGGATGAGCGATGCCCCAGACGAGACGCCATAAAGGGCAATAGAGAAGAACCTGCCGACGAACCTATTCCTTTCCTTGGCGGCCTCTTCTCCTCCTTCGAGCCAAACCCCGCCATCCGGCCAATCTACTGGCGAGAGACTTCACACAGCCCGTCACACCACGATGGCCTCATGATATGCCAGAATCAACCGAGCGGTACCTCACTCCTCCATCTTGTGCAAATTCCAGTCCTGTGGGATGCAGCTCCCCATGCAGGAACATCGTCCTAGACTGGTACCAATACCTACAGCCTGGACTGCCGAACCTACGTGTCTGCGCCGCAGTCTCGCAGATGTCTTGACTTGGGCTGAGGGGTCTCTAGATTCTGTACCACCAACCTTCGGTTTCCATTGCCGATCCTCGTCGACCAAAGACAGCCCACCATCTCCAGAGTTCAACCTATTGTGATACCACAACGACCGCCTAGTGCTCAGATATATGACCTACACGCCTCCTTCATAGCGGCACCTTGATTCGATCTGGGCTGATCAATTTGACGGACGCCCATCCGCTCGACCTGGGCTTTGGTTGATGAAGGATGAAGCACCCATCTGACGGACGGAGAAACTTTGGTTGGAAACGTCCGGACGGGTCGGGCTGCCCAACTGGCGACATGTCACCCGCACCGAGGCGGCCAACGTTGCCAGTTCACCGGGTCAGCCCAATCAGAAAAATATCACCGGCGCTTAACTTATCCCATATGCACTCTGCAAAGAATGGCACTTTCGGAAGATGCTATTTTAAACAGTTCAACGTCATTTCTCCCAGCTCCAGTGGACTGGTTTGGCAGACCATTTCCAGTATGGCGGCCTGCAAGCACTTACACCTCATCCACTTTTCAACCTCTTCTCTGGGTTCGCAAAAGCAACTAAGAAGAAAACCCCCGGTGACTGAACGAGATCGGATGGCCTTGCAGTTGCAATCACCTCTGCAGCATCTCCATATTCAGCCACGAGGCGTGATACAGCTGCAAGCTGCGGGTTGCAGTCACGGTTCACTACGGAGTACCTACTGTACAGTAGTAGGGGCTAAGAGAAGCACGACTTACAACTGTGATCAAGGCGGCGTTAGTCACTCTTCTACGCGCCCTTGGCCCCTGGCAACTTAGTGGCTCAAAGGTCCGGCCCACGACCCGTATTCCTGGGGGCCAATCAGGCACAGCTCGCATTCGCTGGAACGCTTCGTGCATGGGAAGCGACAGGCCCTGATTCGCAGTGGTTGCACGATGCCTGCGATACCCGGCATTAGTGCATTACCGTTAAGGGAGCGCTGCCTCTTGTCCAGCTGCCACGCACACAATGAGGACAGGAGAGGGGACACTGAGAAGAGTAAATCGTCGTCAGCGTCCCTCCCTGGAGGATCAGGAGAAGCAGACAGTCCAAAACAGCCACTCCCTTGTCAAGCCTACCGCAAGATACGTAGTATGCGATCTGACCCGCGACGCCATGACATGGACTACGGCTTCCTCCTCGCCCATCACTCACTGCCCAGGCGCTCTCTTACACCCCCCCGGAACGGACGTCGGATGGAATGCCCAGACAAACTAGGGGTGGCTCCTCCAAGACGAGGCACAGAGGGCCCGAGGGGATCCCAACCCAACGTTCGATGTCCAGCATATTCACAACCCAGCATCTGGCGACGAGATATGCAAAGTGGTTCGATTTTGAGAGAAAACACTTGATTCTATCACTCAATTTAGACAAGTTTGTTTCCTCCCGCCGAACGAAATACCTTGTCGAATATCCAAAGAAGGATCTGCGTGGCTGCTTAAAGTGTTCTGGGACGACGTCTTGGGAAAAGTCGACAGATGGGAGATGATCTCTTTGGCGCCGAGCTATCTCACAAGTCACAACTGTGTGCTCTGTACTCCGTATGCCTCTGGAAGGCTGTATCCATCCTGTACAGTCTGTACTCACCTCGAACATAAGTTCACGTTTTGTCACCGAGGCAGATCCTGTAATGGCCAAGATCGGTTGCACAATTCGTCTCTCCCCCCAAACCCAGGCTGGGCGTGCGAAAGCCGACCAAAAGACACCCGGAATTCTGTTGCAGCAAGATACACGCCCCCTTCATCCACCGAGCTGCCCAAGCCACTTGTTCCGGGCCCTCTGCTCTCTACACCCCCCCTTCCAGTGTCGATACTCGACCAGGAAGAAGAACAACCCCCTTGGATCCCCCTGCGACTCGCAACTGGACGAGCACCGGAGCACAGGCATCCTGAGCGTTTCCTGACTGAGAATCGAGTTGGAATATCAATCACTGATGAGCACCTTGCATGATATACACCCAGTCTCGCGGCCCACAACCCAACCAGTCAAGTCCCCCTTGGTCCCTCGCTGCAAGCACCGACTCGACTCTATTTTCTCTACCCTCCTTTCTGTAGGCGCTGGCTTTTCGTCCTCCATCCATTCATTCCCATTCCTTTCCTCGAGCCCGGCTGCAAGTCTGGTCATTTCATCACTTTTATTCTTGTCCACATCACACTTGCTTCTCACATCTGTTCCCAAAGTTGGAACTCGCGAAGCAAAGACAAACCGACCTCGCGACTGTCCTTTCTGACCCGCAACTCACACGCAAGCTTCCCACAGTCGAACGACCGTCCGAGGTTCCGACTCTAATTAACGCACGATTCTAACCCGAGAGAGGACCCGCGCCGAACGACGCAGGCTTAGGCAGTCTTTGGTATCTGGTCACCTCTGGTCACCTCGCCCTCGGCACACGCACATACGCAACACAGTCACAGTCTTCGCCGTCACAAGCAGGCAGATAAGGAAGAGCACGGATTCTTTGGTCTTGGTCTCGTTCTCGAAATAGTAGGACTGAACAGGAAGAGAGCCCAGACTTTGATAATACAGGACGGACTGGCTTCGGATCCCGCCCCCCCCCCCCTTTGGCGCCTAGTCCGACTTACATACATATTACTGCGGCCTTGTCCATCCACCCACCACCACCTCCACAGGAACCAGGACACACAGCCAAAAAGGGCCATCCCATCCTCCCCCCGACAACTTAATCCGTCTTTCGACGCACAACGTACACAAACCCGAAACACCGTCCTACTTTTGGCATCTGCTTCTGCTGGCCAGGAACGAGAAAAGAGCAACTTTATCAAGTTACAACGTCGAGTTTATCCTACAGTTGGATAAACCCTCTTTTTCGCTTCTGTCTCCTCCCCGCCATCGCATCGGCGGTTCTTGCAGAAGCTTTCGGCAAATCGCCAGACGGGGCCAGGTATCGATCCCTGGTGTACCCGCCACGCGCCAAGATCTCCAGCTTGTCGCCCAAGTCCGAAGCGTACCCCATTTGCAGCTTCTGGCTCATTGGAAGCGGGGGTAACACTCCAACCGTCATTTCAGTGGCGCCGAGCACCGCACGGTCGACAGACCGCCAGCCATCTCCCTAAATAAGCCCTGAGGACCCTCTCTAGCCGCCCGCGGCGCACTTTGTTGTTGCTGTTCAGGTCTGGGTCGCTTTTTGGCTTTCTTTCCTGCAGCAGTCGTCGTCGTCGTTGTCTTCAGCCACCATTGTCCACGTCCGCATCGCAGTTCCCCACGATACCGTTTTCTCCCTCGAATCCTGTCCGTTGACGATCTTTCGACCGCAGCAGCAATCGTCTGCTTGCGCAATTCCTCGGCCCGCGATTTGGATTTGGTATTTTGATAATTCTGGCCTGGCGACAAAATGTCATTGAAGCAGGTACGTGCCAGCGTCGGAGAGAGCGATCAGCAGTCGCCCAACCTGCAACACCCGACAACCCGAAATGGGTAGATCGTTGAACATGTTACTGACCACAACTGTCTCTTATTACAGGAAATAGAAACGTGGGTGTCGGCCTTGGGCCGGTACGACAACAATGAATTCGATGAGGCCCTCAAGGATTTTGAGAGGATCTCCGACACATCAAAAATTCTCTTCAACATGGGTGTTATTCACGCCACTTTGGGAGAGCACGAGAAAGCTGTGCGTCGTCTCCGAACCTAACACCGAGGTCTTGGCACTAACGTGGAAACACCAGGTCGAATGTTACCAACGAGCAATCAAGCTCGACCAGTACCTCGCTGTCGCCTACTTCCAGCAAGGCGTCTCAAATTTCCTGCTCGGCGATTTCGAAGAGGCATTGGCCAACTTCAATGACACTCTTCTCTACCTGCGAGGAAACACCATGATCGACTACGCCCAATTGGGTCTGCTCTTCAAGCTCTACTCTTGCGAGGTGCTCTTCAACAGAGGTCTCTGCTACATCTACCTGCAACAGAAAGATGCTGGTATGCAGGATCTATCGTACGCTGTCAAGGAGAAGGTGGTAGAGGACCACAACGTTATCGATGAGGCGATCCGTGAGGAGGCAGAGGTAAGGAAGACACCGAGTTGAACTGTGTACAGTGCTCACAATTTCTCAAGGGATACACTGTTTTCTCGATCCCCGTCGGTGTTGTGTACCGACCGAACGAAGCAAAGGTTCGCAACCTCAAGACAAAGGACTACCTTGGAAAGGCTAGGCTAGTCGCCGCCTCCGATCGCGCGAACGCCTTCACAGGCTTTGCCGGGTCCGAGATCAAGAATGTAGGCAGATCGGTTCCCATTCCAATCAGCTTTTATGGGAATCCATTTGCTAATCACAGAATTCTTGATTTACAGGCCGGCAAGAACGACGTCAAGGACGACAGACCAGCTGACAATATTTCCTTCGCTGCAACCAACCTAGTCAAACCTGGCCTGGCCTCTAGAAGACAACAGTCTGAGCCGCCCAACGGCCGCGGTGTCTTCCCCCCTACCCCTCCCCCGGACCAGGTCGAGGCCAACAATACCGGTGCCATGTCTCGTGGACAATCCGTCCGTAATGGACCCAAGCCGATGCTTGCGAAGTTGAACATCGAGAACTCCAGGCCCAACGAACGGTACCAAAAGACGAGCAGCCCCAACGACCGTAGAGGACCTCCGCCCATGATGAGATCCGAGTCACGGTCGGCAACTCCTAGCAGAGGATATTCGAGACGCGACTTGCAGATGCGCGGCCGGCCTGCTGACGAAGATGCCGAGGACGCCTACCCTGACGAGCTTTACGACATGTACCAGAGCGGTGGTGGTGGTGGCAACAGTACAAGAACCAGCCGCCAAGCCTCCCGCCGCCAGCCCCAGCGATACATGGACGAGGAAGATGATGGCTCCGACTACGGCTCCTTTGATGAGGGTGACTTCGAGATGGTTTCCAACAACAGACGTCCAGGCACGAACTCAATGTCCTCTCGTGGCGGTTCAAGGAGACCTGAAGTCCGTAAGATCCGTGTCAAGGTGCACGCCGATGATGTTCGATACATCATGGTGGGCGCAGCAGTCGAGTTTCCCGACTTTGTTGACCGCATCCGTGAGAAGTTTGGTCTTCGACGAAGATTCAAGATCAAGATCCGCGACGAAGATGTGCCGAATGGCGACATGATTACCATGGGTGACCAAGATGACTTGGACATGGCGATCATGAGCGTCAAGAGCCAAGCAAGGAAAACGAGGCAGGACATCGGCAAGATGGAGGTAAGCATCACCCAGAACAATTGCACTATCATCAGGATGTATGACTAACTGAACGTATAGATCTGGGTCCAAGAAATTATGTAGACGATTATACCCCAACCAAGCCTGTGACGACGTAATGACCAACAATCTGCTCGCCCTGAGCTCTGCAACCTCTCCTTCATCTAGTAAACACCTTTCATTTTTTTTTGCTGCATTTACGGATGGATTGGTTGTAGACAGGGCGTCTAAAACGGCGGAAGTAAAAGAGGAGGACAGTTCGAGAGACAGAGCCAAGCAGAGCTGGCTCAATGGCACCCCCACGGCCGCGAACGACATGATCATAGCGTTGCATTGTTTAGAAAACGGAACAGTTCGGAGGCGATTGGTGTGGTGATGACACTTTTGTATTCCCCTACGGTTTACCATCTCTCCTTTTCCGATATAATTTCTACCTCATCTACACTGTCGTGTTACGAGATCCTGTCCATCATCTACGAGATCGTTGAGAGGCCTGCAACACCAACCTTAATGCAACTATCATTGCTCACTACTTCTGTATATATCTGAACGACCTCGTGTGACTGTAAGCTTCCGTGAAGCTCTGGGACTCAAGGACGAGGGTGGTGAATATCATCATGTACGTAAAGGGGTTACGTGAAGTAGACGCAAATGAGCTCAAATTGCACACGACGTACTTCTCTATACTGCGTGAGACTCTCCCTATGCGTATCAATCGCCAATGATGTCAACCCTTTCGGACTGTACAGTCCATGGCCAGATCCAATCGGGCCAGCTCACGTGGACAAAGTAGAGTTGGGTTGAGCACCTGATTCGCGAAGCTTTGAGCATGGGCAACAAAACCAGCAGGTATGGTAATCTTTCTTTTCCGATTTAAAGCCTGGGGCGGGCAGATAATATTACTTCCAGACGAAACAGCCGCGCAGTACACACCCACACACACTCTCTATCAACACACACATATATCGTACAAAACCACAGTCATGCCAGAATCGTATAGACTTGGGGATTTAAGCTTCCCCGCGGCGCGCAACGACCAAAACCCCAGACTCCTCTCCCCCACAACAGGAGGAAGCACTTCTATTCTCCTACCCTGGCAGAGAAAGTTTAAAAGGATCCTTTGGTGCACACAGTCCAAGCATGAGAATGGAGGAATCTCTCCGATTGCTGAAGATTGCCCCTGTATGCTGCCCCTTTTGGGAGCGAGAAGGTCTCCACCCACCATCTTCTATTCTTTCACTAGGTAAATAGGCATTGCCATTCTCTCTCACTGCTCGAGGCAGAGCTCGAACCTAGCCATCGTCTCGGCCCGGCCCAAGAGCGCGAGCTGCAGCTTGGCAGGCTTGGCGCCGCGGTTGTGGTCGCCCGTGAGCACGAGCCGCAGCAGCGCGTAGGTGGCCTTGTTGACGGGCTTGGCGGGCTTCTCGGGGTCGACCGAGTCGGCGTTGCGGCTGGCGAATTCGTTGACGGCGGCCTGGAGCCTGTCCGGGTTCCAGTCGAGCTCGTGGACGTCGCGGAGGGAGGCGTGGAGGTCCTGGAGGAGGGCGTGGGGCGGCGCGGTGGTGTCTGGGAGGGAGAGGTTCTCGAGGGAGCGGGCGTAGGATTGCGGGGAGGGACGGAGGAAGAGGGAGGGGTGTTCGTGGACGAGGTCGACTGGGTCTATGGGGGAGTCGAGGGCTAGGGTGCGGTAGATGTCGAGGAGGTGGGATGGAGATGTTGAGGGGGAGGCGAGGAGGGGGGTTAGGGTTGTGAAGTCTTTTGTTAGGAAGAAGTGTTTTTGGTTTGTTGGGGAGGTGAGGACTGTGTTTGTGGTGGAGGCGGAGGCGGATGGAGGATGCGTCTCGGCCTCGACGGAAGGAGGAGGAGAAGACTGGAGGAGAGAGGAGATGTGCTCGAGGAGCTTGGTTGTCGGCGGGAGGAGGGCCTGTTTTAGGAGCTCTTCGTCGGGGTTCTCTTCGCGGAGGCGGTGGGTTAGGTGTTTGCGCTGGAAGACGGCGAGCTTATCCGGGTTGGTCTTGATGTTGCCCTTTGTGAATCTCAGGGAGAACTATTCGCAGTGTGTAAGTGAGTGTTCATTGACTCGCAAAGCCAAACAAAAGTGATGCAACGAGGGGAGGGTCGATATGGAATGATGGATTCTTACCTTCTCGGCCAGGTCGCTCGTGGTGTAGAATACCTCGCCCCCCTTTGCGAGATCCTTCTCGTTCATGCTCCAGCCCAGCAGCGCAAGCCAGTTGTTGAGTGCGGAGGGGAGGATGCCCTTGTCACGATACGAAGAGATGTCAATGTCGTGGTTACGCTTGCTGAGCTTCTCGCCGTTCTGGGCGCAGAGGAGGCCGGCGTGGGCGAACGTCGGGGCTTCCCATTTGAAGGCGTCGTAGAGAGCAATGTGCTTTGGCGTGGAGATGAGCCATTCCTGTTATCTGGTGTGAGCTACAGTTATACGTCTTGAAGGGTGACCTAAGAAAGAATCGGTAGGATTTTTAGGGATAAGAGAAGGGGGGGGGGGGGGGGGGGGGGAAAGCCCCGGGGGGGGGGGGGGTAATCCCCTGGGGGGGACCGGCGGAGCGTTGGGGAAGGGGGGAGGGGGGGGGGCGGGCGGGGTGGTGGGGGGGGGGGGGGCGGGGGGGGGGGGGGGGGGGGGGGGGGAGACGGACAGCACCGCGGATGACGTGGGTAATCTCCATGAGGTGATCGTCGACGACGTTGGCGAAGTGGTACGTCGGGTACCCGTCGCTCTTGATGAGGATGAAGTCGTCCTCGTCCTCGTTCTTCTGGTAGTTGCCGTACACCTTGTCCACGAAGGATGGGCGGCCCTCGCTGCGGAAGCGCACGACGTGCGTCTCGCCGTTGGCGGCGCGCCGCTCGGCCTGGGACGGCGGGAGGCTCCGGCAGGTGCCCGGGTAGTGCGCCGAGCCGCCCTCGTCGAGGGACTGTTGCTTGTGGCGCTCGAGGTCGTGAGCCGTGCAGAAGCAGCGGTAGGCTTTTCCCGCGTCCAGAAGCTCGGCAATGTACTTTTTGTAGTAACTCAGACGTTTTGACTAAATCGAGGTGTTAGATCGGTGTGCAACTGTTCAGGGGAGGCAGGAGAGTCAAGTACTTGTTCATAAGGTCCGTATGGTCCCCCGACATCAGGGCCTTCATCCCAGTTTAGCTCCGCCCATCTCAGGTCTGCTAGGAGACGCTGAACGGCATCATCGACGATGCGAGTCTTTTGTTGTTTTTGTGACGTTAGCGGATGGTTCCTTGATCTTACTCAACAGCAGTTTTGAACGTACCCGGTCCGTATCCTCAACCCGGATAATGAACTGACCGCCGGTGGCACGGGCAATGAGCCAGTTGAAGAGTGCAGTCCTCAACGATCCCAGATGGAGGTATCCCGTGGGCGAGGGGGCGAACCGCGTCCTGGCCGGTTTATCGGGCAGCCCGTGGAGCTTCTTGTCGGCCAGGGGCGGGAGCTTCTTCCTCAACGCCTGGAAGCCGCTGCTGCCACTGCCACTACTCTTTGCGGACGAGCACCATCTCAGGTGCGAGCCCGCGCGGCATGCATCGAACGAGCGCTGGAAGAGGGGCCGGCCCTGGGATCTCAGGGCTATCAATGGCATGATGAAGACATTTGTTCAAGTTGCCTTCATGTGTTTAGCGGTTGATGGATGAACTGATCGAAGGGTGAAATTTGTCGATGAGATTCAGCCACGTGTGGCGCAGTTGAGAGATATGCATCAAGCGAGATAATGACTTATACGACAGTGGCTTCTGCGTATCTTCAGTTCTATTCATAACCTAACCATGAGAGAGGGTTCACTCTGTATTCCTCCACCAATTCCACTCTGTTTTCGTAGACAAACACGAAAATCAATCGACCATGATGTTCCTTCAAGAACATGCTTCATTGGAATTAGAATTTCCAAAAAGGTATGGTGAATCAAGAACAGAGTGGGCGATATTCATCCCAAGAATCTCGAACTGTCGCTAGGTTTCACAGACTCTTCGGATGACAACGTACATATCACTTCGAGCAGTTTGTCCGAGTGCCCGTCTGAGGAGTATAGCGAACAGAGGTGAGCTGTAGAGGCAGAGTTTGATGAGGCACTTATTTGCGGTGAGTGAGCTCAGTCCTCTCAGTCCCTCTGGAGTCTGCGATTCAGTAGCCTCGGGTTGACGCCGATCATATTGACTTGCTTGTGAAAGCCCAACAAAGTGTTATTGTTCGCATAAGGGCTGGGTATGTAACTCGGGTTCGTCATACAATGCAACAATATACTAAACCTGTTCAATGACTGGTGAACTCCGTCTCAGTTGGTGAGAGTCCCAGTCACAAGTATATTTAGTCTCGGCAAGTATTGAGGTGCCTTGGCAACCAAGCCAGTACTCAACGATCCAGCGGATCCAAGGAATTGCGGTAGGTCTCGAGGAACCTACCTTAGATAATTAGCTAGGCAAGCAGCTGGACACCGCCTTCTAAAACCTGGAAAGCAGTGGAGGTTGCTGATGAACAGGTGCAGGCGGATAGGCGGCTGGGAAAGGAGACTGGGGCCCGGGCTGCTTACCTCTATACCGTACCTAGGTAGTGTACAAGGTACCCCCGCCGACTGCCAACAACCATCTGCCGCGCGCTCTCAGCAGGTTACCCGTAGCGCTGTGAACCTGCAAAGCAGCCGCACGCCCAGCAAGGCACTGAGGTGCGGGCATGCTGGGTACCCCGCCAAACAAAGGCCTGCTACCGGCAGGTACACCGTACTCCAGACAAAATATTTTCAATTCTACTCCACATCCCACCCTTCTCACAACTGCAAATCACTCCTCTGAAGGCCGAATCTCGAGCAAGACTTGCCCGAGTGCCCTTCGAAGAAGCTTCAATCATGGACAGTGGTGGACCGAGCATGGCGGGGGAGGAAGATATTGATCTCTACGGTAAGACTCTGCCTATGGAGCCCAGGGGTACTTTTTTCGCAGTGGATCACATCTGACGCATTTTCCAGAGCTCCTCGGCATTGATAAGGATGCTTCGCAGGATCAGATCAAGAAGGCATACAGAAAGGTTCGTAACCCCTCTCCTTGGTCGCAGCGACAACTACAATCATACACCAGCGGCAAATCCCCATACTGACACATCCGTCTTGCACAGGCTGCCCTTCTTCACCACCCCGACAAAGTCCCCGAGGAACGCAGAGAGGAGTCGGAAGCCAAGTTCAAGGCTGTCAGCCAGGCCTACGAAATCCTTAAAGATGAGGACAAACGCCACCTCTACGACACCCACGGCATGGCCGCATTCGACCCCTCGCGAGGCGGCCCCGGCGGTCCCGGCGGCGTCGAGGTCGACTTGAACGACATTCTGTCACAAATGTTCGGTATGGGCATGGGCGGCCCCGGTGGCCCTGGTGCCGGCCCCAGAAGACCGCGTCGCGGTCCCGATGAGGACCAGCCGTACAAGGTCACGCTCGAGGAGTTGTACAAGGGCAAGACTGTCAAGTTCTCCGCAAACAAGCAGGTTGTCTGCGGCACCTGCAAGGGATCCGGCGCCAAGGCAAACGTCAAGCCCCAGCAGTGCGAGAAGTGCAGAGGCGCCGGTATGGCAGAGGCCTTCCGCCAGGTCGGACCGGGTATGGTCCGCAAAGAGACCGTTATTTGCGATCGTTGCGAGGGATCCGGAAACTTCTGCAAGGAGAAGGACCGCTGCAAGAAGTGCAAGGGCAAGCGCACTACCTCCGAGACCAAGGTCCTCGAGATTTACATTCCCAGAGGTTCCCAGAATGGAGAGAGGATCGTGTTGGAGGGCGAGGCGGACCAGTTCCCAGACCAGACCCCCGGAGACATTGTTTTCCACTTGGCCGAGGAGCCCCACGACGAGTTCACTCGCATCGGCAACGATCTCTCTGCCGAGCTGAATGTCTCTCTTGCTGAGGCTCTCGGTGGCTTTTCCCGTGTTGTGTTGACGCACCTTGACGGCCGCGGTATTCATATGGAAAGACAGCGCGGCGAAATCCTCCGCCCCGGTGACATCCTCAAGGTCGCTGGCGAGGGTATGCCTCAGAAGCGCGGCGAAGAGAAGGGTGACTTGTATCTGATCGTCAATGTTGAGTTCCCTGAGGATGGTTGGTTGAAGGATGATAAGGAATACGATGCTCTGAACAAGCTCCTTCCTCCGCCTCCTCCCCCCATCACAGCCGAGGAGGTTGATGAGGTTGAGTACGAAGAGGTGGATAGCCTGGATTCAGTAAGTTTTCACAAGTCGTCTCATCATCAGATACCTGGTGCTAACACAAATGTCTACAGATGGGCGCCAACTCGGGAGACCCGCGTTTCGGTGGCGAATGGGAAGACGAAGATGAAGAAGATGGCCAGCCTCAGTGCCAGCCTCAGTAAGAGGTGTTGAGGTGGATAGAGATTTTAGAGGACAGAGTCTTGGGCTTGATGCCCTGAAGCTCATGACAGACATGACGACCCGGACGGTGGGGGGGGGGGGGGTGAGCATAGACGTGGGAACTGGAGAGGAGTTTTGCTTGGTTGTTTGGGCATCATCCCCCTCATGAATGAAAGGCAACCCGTAATACACGGTTGCTATATCGCTTCTCAACCATGGTGCAGTCGTATAGCGAACAGTGGTGACTCATGGGAAGCACAAACCGCTTCTAGTTCTGCTGTAATGGGCTTTGTCTGCCCCGCTAGGCGTCTATGTACAGCTTAGTGCTCTACCCTGTCATCAAACAACAACCACATCCCATATAGTATAGTGGTTAGTATACTCCGCTTTCATGTTTCCAATGACATCCGGAGAGTCCCGAGTTCGAACCTCGGTGTGGGAAATCCCTTTTGTAGCATTTGGCATTTGTTTTTTCTCTTGAACAATGGTGTTTCCAGAGACGTGGGAGATCTATGCAGGACATGCCGTCTCGTCAACTGTACCACAGTTGGTCCGTGCTCTCCTCGACACCTATTTTTTTTTTTTTTGGAGTTCCGTTGCGTAGGTAGGCCAATTGCATTGGCTGCAGACCGAAAAGAGTCCCTTCCGCTAGCGCGACCTGTTGGGCCAGTAGCAGGTCTCCGCTCCTGCATTTTTTTTTCTTCCCCCGCTAGGCGGCCCACACGTGACCAACAAAATCTTAGGGCTTCGGAAAGAGCCCACGTCCAGTGCGATTCGAAATCGTGGTCACCCAAATTTCACGATCGCCTTGAAGCCCGAATTTGACGACGTACACCCGCCCCGACTAACCCAATAGCCAGGAACAGCCGTCAAGGTGAGATTTGATTGCTACGGCATCCTTCATCGACATGCTGTCGGTATTGTGATTCAATTACTGACATTTGGTTGCATAAAGATGGTCGCCGCAAAGAAGCACGTTCCTATCGTGAAGAAGCGTATGTTTTTTCCTTCCCCAAGGACACAGCACCCCTCTACGACCCCGCGTACCCGACAACCTCGACGATGATTACAACCGAACGAGAACTTTGGATTGGAAACGAGAGGATTGACGGGTGTTATTCTGAACAGGCACGAAGCTCTTCAACCGCCACCAGAGCGACCGCTTTATGCGCGTTGATCGATCATGGCGCAAGCCCAAGGGTATCGACAACCGCGTCCGCCGTCGCTTCAGGGGTAACACTGCCATGCCCTCGGTACGTCGAGACACCTCCCTGCTGGATTTGGACTTGGGTTCGAAATAGACATCAACAAGAAGAGGAGCGAATTTCGGGATGGAAATGGTTTTAGAGACCCAGGGTTACAGCTGCTAACCTGGCATTCCTGCACTCCAGATCGGCTTCGGCTCCAACAAGAAGACCAAGTACATGATGCCCTCCGGCCACAAGGCCTTCCTCGTCAGCAACGTCAACGACGTCAACCTCCTGCTGATGCACAACCGCACCTACGCTGCCGAGTGCGTACAACCCCACCCCCGCCTACCAGCTCCGATCGAGAAGCCGAGCGAAGGGCATCTTTCCGATAGAAAATACAGCCAGCTGACAGACTCACTACAGGATCGCCCACAACGTCTCCTCGAGAAAGCGCATCGACATCATCGGCCGCGCCAAGCAGCTCGGTGTCAAGGTCACGAACCCCAAGGCCAAGGTCACCACCGAGGTCTAAGCGAAGAAGAAGATGTAAAAAGTTTTCTCTCAGTGGGTTGCGTAGAGGAAAAATCAGCTGTTCGGGGCGAGGGGGTTCGGTTTTCATCGCCTGGTTACTTGCGTTGTGCTCTCATATCCAGGGAACGGGAATGCATCGGAAACGGTTTCTGCGATGATTCAGGGCTGGCGGCTTGGCATGGCTCGTACCGTTGTGCTAGGAAATACAAAAAAACAACCGCAGCAAAAATTCAACGACTTGACGTTCACTCAGGCGTGTGTTTCTTACTACTACCGTCGATTGACAAGAATAAGGCGTTGGGTGGGATGGAAAACAGGATCCTTCATATGCTCGGTAATTCGAGAATATCACCAACCCCTTTGGCCCCTGCACTGTACTCTGCGCCAGTGACATTCCATGTGCTTATTTCGCTGCCCGGCTGTTCTTGCCGGCTGAGTCCTTCTGTCTGCTTGGTTATCTGCATTACCTTCACTTAGGAGAATTGTTCCCAACCTAAGTTTGACTCCCCGGCCTATCTAATATGTCGTCTAGTCATCTATCGTTTCCCCGCGGCAGGTCTGACCATCGGCTCAACCGCCGTTCCCGCCATCCATTTCCACAGTCAAACTCGCCGGACGATAAGTAAACGCGGGTGTGCCTACTGGGTCATGACGATATAAGCTTTGCCCTCGAGCTTGCCTGCCAAAGACAGCACCAGATTAACTGGTACACTTTGGACTGACAAGCACCAAGGAAACGGTCTGACTACTAATTACACCAGATGCATATCACAACAATTCACTGATTGACAATATGTTTTGAAGAAATAATGTATTATCTAGGTATGCATTGCATCATTCCACCCATCCGCAAAACGATCAATCTCCATTTGTGATCGCAACGCAAGAGAAACTCAATAAGGACAGAATGACAGGAAACGCTCGCTTTCCCGTCGTCAAAACCGTCATAAACGCAAATACAGACTCCTGGTATCCATGATCTCGTGACAGTTGAAAAGAGGAACAAGAATAGAAAAAAGGCGTTGAATGGGGCTTTGTTCAGTTGGTCGTCTCATTCTGATGACAACTCAGGTCGTATCCTGGAAGACGCGGAGAGGACTAGAGCGAGGACGAAATGCTCGACATCGCTGTCCGAAGGCTCATCGCACCGACACCTTTACGCCGTGAGAGTGGCGTCGACTCTATCGGAAGCAGTTGAAGCGGCCGATGCGCATGCGCCAGGGACCGCGGTGGACGCCGTGGCGGTCTGCGTGGACGGAGGTGCCGAAGTTGCGGCCGCCGATGGGCTTGGAGTAGAAGAAGGGCATGATGATTGTTTGGTACTTTGTCGGAGGTTGTGTAGGTGTGAAATTGCTGCAGAGAGTATTAGTCCAAGGTCCGAGGGTGCGCAGACCGCCGGTTTGCCATTTGAGGAGTGTCAATGTACCTTGTGGTTCTTGTCGAAGTTATTCGCAGTGGAGAACTTGTGTTTTGTGTGGTTGATATGGATCACGGACTATGGATGAACGGCCAAGAAGGAACGGGCTTGTATTAAATACCTAGTTAGACGTCGGTTCCCTCCACGTACGAACCAGTGACGAAGGGGCAGCAGACCACACCCGGCCTTCGTCTCCCTTCCCCCTTTGGCTTGCTTTTCTTCCCCAACCTTTTCTTGAATTGCACCAGTGACACAATGGCATCACCCTTGGAAACTTGGCTGGAAGGGTCGCTTGTGCTGTGTGGTGTTGTATGCCAAGAGCTCGTTGTGAGGGCGGTGACGTAGGCGTGGCTGAGCAGTACGAGGCCGCGAGTGTGGCTGGGTGGGACGCAGAGTTTCGTCAAGTATGATGGGTGTGACCATCGATTGGTGGACGGCGCCATAACTAATATGGGTGGTGGCTGAGGTGTGTGCGGCAGGGTCCGCTGAAGTGATCGAACAGGGGAAGAAGGATTGTGAGTGGTGAATTCGTTCTGAGGAGTAGCGAGTTAGATGCGAGGGATCGGTCGATTGGAAAGTAAGGTTATTCCAACCTGCCGGCTGACTGACTTTGTTTCTCGCTTCGCCATCGCTCCCCTCAACGGCATCTCGAACTCTTTTACACGGGATGTTTCGATCATCTCATAGATTTGGTTGAGCACTTTCAGCTACCCTCAATTTTGTCTGTCTTTGACCAGTACGCATGGCATACCATGTGTTGCGTTACAAGCGGGTTTGTCTCACGAGCCTCACTCCAAAGCACTCCACCGATCTCTCCAGGAGTATTCATATCGACCATGAGGATGGTACTTGCAATCGCAAGTTGCAGTTCTGAGGGCTTGTTCGCGGTCGACCACGTCTACTGCTCATGTTTCTAATGTTCTCTCGACTTGAACATCACACCCTGAAAATGGGCATCATGTTGCTTGGCGCTTTGAGGTGAATCCTTCAAGACTGAGGCCTGCTGGGTCAGCACCCAGTTGCGAGGGAGGCAGGGTAGTGTGTCGGCTTTGATGGGGCCGCACATGGTCTCTTGTCGTAAAGGGTTCAAAAAGCTTGTCATGGTTAATTCAGAAAGCTTGCTGTGTTCTCCCGTTGACTAAGATCGATGGGGGTAGCCTAAGGATTTAATTCCTTGTCAACCCGAGATCTCCTTTAGCAATGAGCATTGCAGATGACTCCCGCGCGAACAGAGGCCTTGACGATCAACATCAGTTGGGCTAGACGTCTTCTCGTTCCCGCGGGGTATGCACGCGAGCGTTGCTTGGTGGACTGATCTGGGGTTACGAGCCCTCGGAGTCCTATCGCGGTTAGTTCGCATAACCTCGATGTTCACTTACACGGACACAACTTGCCAGTATCTCTTATAGAAAGCTGATACGCGACGCTGTATGGTAAAGGCAGTGGTTGAAAGAAGATATTGTGCAATTTTTCAGCGACAAATGGTCTCTTCAACCCACATTCCCAACGTGGCTCGCGAGATGATGAGACACCATGCGAAATCTTCAGGGCACACCAGATGCTGTGTAGAGGAACAGATTTTTTAATGAGAGGCTAGACATTCTGAAAGAGCAGGAATGGCCTTTACTATAGTTCCGCGCGTTCGCAGGAGCCTGCCCGCCATGCTCCTTGCGGTCCGGAGCAATTCTCCGGGCATGTGTCACTGCTGCTGCCTCGTCTCTCAGGAGTCAGAATGCTCTGTTGTACATATGAAGAGCGTTCAAAAATTCTTTCCCCAATCAAGCTTGCCACAAAGATCCAGGACACCGACCTCCCCACTGATTAGTTTCCAAAATTCACGTTTTGCTTGCAGTCTCGGTAGCTAAGGTACCTCGATACACCGATCTTAGGCGCATCGATTCATCTTGATCATCAGATACACTTCTAAATTAGCCAACTCACCAGGTCGAACCGAGTCTGTCCGCCTCTCTCCACCCTCTATCCGTGATTCCGAGGAGGCGAGGGTCATTCAACCGTCATCCTTGAGCTTATCTTTCCTCGCACAAGCTTCATGCACGTAATCAGGGGGACATGTCGAAAGCGGAAACGAGCTTGCAGCTCGGTGATATAATTTGAACATGGCGCCTCAAATGAGGCTCAGAGGATTCGATACTATTCTCTTGCCGCAAGCAAAGTTTCCTCCCACGAATTAACCATGCGTAGGACTGGCGTTGGGCGGGGCAAGAAGAATTAAGCATAACGCCTGGCAGAACCGGGCCGATCAACCCTTCGGACCGTGGCACAGATCGCGACATGATGAGCAAGAAGCCCTCCGAGTAGAGAACTCTCGAGTAGGCCGTTGTTTGCGGACCAAGAATTTCAATATCCTGCGTGTGAGACACTGTCTTTCGGACTACCACAAGGCATTGCTTATTCTCGTCGGAGCCGGATATAGCTGCGCTTGCGGGGTTCGTTGATCTTGCCTTCAACCGTTTGGTTCCTATGTGAGACACTTCCGAATCTCCTTCCGGTCCTGGAGACATCATCTCCGTCCGGCTTTTGTAGATGGGGAAACCTCTTCAATGAAGGCACACACTGTCGGACTCGGGAATGACGCCATTCCCTGCGTTCCTCAAGTCTGTCGTAAAGCTAGGAAAGAGTTTACATGAGTGAGGCTCAACCATGGCGCCGATAAGGTGGCGTTTATGGCTGGGTCCCTGGATCATACAGTGCACGCGCGGTACGAAGTGGTTCTTGCTACGTCTTGTGGTTCTGTACAGACTATACTACTACACCTAGCTCATAGATCAGTAGGTATTCATCTTTGCTGACGCTTAGTTCAGGGTCTTCTAGCACTCCACTTACCTCATCTTGTGGCGCGAACTAGAATAGTGTCCCTGAGCTTAAACACACCATGAAGATCTTCTGTTCAAGACGACGGGTAGTATTTTTGTATCAACGTGTCTGATTGTGCTTGCCACGAGTGAAAAGCTATTGGTTACTGTCAAAACAGACATTTCATGTCTTGCTGCGATCCTATCGCCAAGAAAGCTTGGTATCTGACGCTTCCAGCATCCGTATATCCCTTAGCATCTTGGCAGGAACATCATCCACGCCGGGAAGAGAAGTCGACCTCTCTACCACGGCACTGAGCGCTGATCAATCTTGGCACCCGACGTCAATCCGGGGGACAATCGTTGATGTGATCAACAACTACTCCGAGATGATCTCCAATGCTTCTTTCGACCGAGTCCAATCCTGAAAACGGATATCGGCATGGACAACACGTTTTTGATGAGAGAGGACATTGGAGCTTTGGCATCGAGAGTTGCCTTTGACGAGGAGAAGTCGATCCGGATGAGGGTTTCAACTCGCAACCTCAGGGTCAAACATCTCGTCATCGTGGCATCGGAGTCATTACTTGCGGATTGCGAGACTTCAGATATCGAACATACTCAGTCGGTCTGGTAGACATCGCCTGTCCCGAAGCATTCGTAAATTCCTATAAGAGGCCTCAATATCGTCTACCCAGAGCTGACAACTCCTCCGATCATCAACAACTCGCAACTACAACCCCAATCACATTTCTCACTTTCCTCTCACTTTAATCCTTAGCAGTGTCTGCTTTCTCAAGAATTTGCTCAAAGGCCAACATGTACACCAAGGCTCTTACCGCGGCGGTTGCCGTCCTCTCCTTCGCCTCAGTCGAGGCAGCCATCCTCCCTCGCGCAACTATCACACCGGGCACCGTCGTTCTTCCCGAAGTCGTCTTCAACCCAGGGGAACTGACGGACCCGCTCTACACCGCGTTGAAGATCGTTAGCACCGATCTCGGCAAGACAACAACCCTGACCGGCGACCTCACCAGGACTGTCGGAACAACAGTAAAGGATGTAAGTCCAATCCCCCCTCATACTGAACTCCTCCCAGAACTCGAAAGCCATACTCACCCTTTCCCCTTTCAGAGAACCGACCAGGTCAACGCTGTCATCCGCCAAATAACAAGCAACACAAACAGCATTCGCACCAGAGTCGGCACCGTCGTCGGCAATCTCCTAGGCGTTGTCCCGTCGGGCATCCCTGCCCCGTCCGCGACCTCCGCGGCGCCACCCTCCATTCCCACGGCCGAGGTCGTCCAGATCGCGCAGGACGTCGTCGTCCAGGCCCAACTGCTCGCTCGCCAGGCTACCACCCAGCTGCAGAACATCCAGGCCCAGGCCAACGCCGTCGCCGACCCCGCCGCCAAGGCAGCATACACGCTCGCTTACACCCAGGCCAACCTGGCGCTCCAGATCGCGCTCAGCACCGTCGGCGCCGCGGCCTCAACTGCGCTCACGGCTGTGGCGAACGCTGCTGGTAGTGCCAACGGCCTTGCTGATCGTATCCGCAATATTCAGGCTAAGCTGAACCCTGTTCTCATCATTGGCGCCAGCCCCGATGTTACCTTTTAAGGATTCCCGATTTTACAAGGCATCTTGGCTGAGCCGGGGATGCTCGGACTCAGGGTAACTTGAAGCTGGCCCGTCATTCGGTCGAGCAAGACTCGACACAAGGATGAGGCGAACTGGTTCGCATGAAAATGCGATGACACTTGGGATCAGCATATCAAGGGACTATAATATTAGGGACTAGGTGGTACTGGCGCAAGGATTAATAGGCTACACACTCTTTGATAATGACATCTAATAATTCACCTAATTTGTCATCGATTTCCCGTGTACATAATGAGCATCAATCAGTCAACGGACCATCTGCTTGGTTTGAGCAGATCTGGACTTCCGGCCAGATCGTGTTACTTGAGCAGATACATACTCTATAGCAATATGGTACAACTACATCATTAGTCAGTTGATAAGTCCTGTTCTGTTGGATTCGATCACATGAGGTAAACATCGCCGGAGCCTAGGATCATTGGCACGCCAGTCTTCTCTTGTGCTGGTCGTTTCGTTCACAGATCTACGATACTTCCTGCCGGCTCGGATCAAGGGTAGTAGGGTTACTAGGCTACTAGACACTCGATAAACTTTACATATTATGGCCTAATGGCCGTCAATTATCAGATTCAGACTGCCCACTATTTCCCTGCCTCGATAAGCTTCATACGGCAATATGAGAACTGACGACAACTTAAATATGACGGCGCCAACAGCACAGGCAGCAGTTCATAGCCCTTAGGGAACCAGGCTCTCATCATACCCATTTCATAGCCAGTACTCAAGTATCATGGGCAATACACCAGGCCGTCGGGAAACACACGAAGTCATACCGTGCCCAGGCTGGACGCATCGAAATTGTTTGCAAGATATCAGGCTCTCGACTATCGAGCTCTGGCATCTCTCAACGAGAGAATCTTGCGATGCCAAGTCCCGCGCTCTGATCCTCTCCCACCGCAGAATATAATGGATGATATGCAGGGACTGACTACCCGACACGGCTCACACCAATAACAGACGCAGGAGTAGCT